ATGGTCTTAGACTTCAATAATATTTACACGTTCGTTCCCCAATATGTCCTTAGGTTATCCAAATATGGGGAAAACAGAAAAAATTGGAACTCGTGTTTGTGTCTCTATCGCATGGCTGCTTCTTCAACATTGGGTTTTGAATTTGGTTCGTAGAGGTTTTGTGTGTGAGAACCCATCAAAAATATAACATTTTAGAGAGCTAGCGGGATCAAATCCATTTAACTTTCATTTGATATCTAATAATATTTAGTAATCAAAACTTTTTTAGGGCATATATTTGTTAGCAGCTTATTGAGTTTAATGAGACTCACAATTTATTTGGTCAGTTATACATGATTGTTTCATAGTAGGTTAATGATATAGAAAGTAGTTTATTTAGTAAGTTTCAAAAGAGGTGCTTTATGCAGAAAGCCGAGTTTTTTATATCCAAAACTGACCTCCGAGTTAGAAGCACACTCCTATATATGAAAAAAATCTTTCAAAACAAAAATCATACAGTACTTGATGGAAAATCAAACAAACAACCCTTTTGTGGAGTACAAAATCGACTTTCATACATTACTTTTGATTTTCGATTGAGGGTTTCACCTTTTAATTTTTTTTTATTTAGGTTTATAGGTTTTAACTTGATGTGTTATGGAAAAAATAATGAAAGCATAAATGTTATAATAAAAATGTCACAACATCAATATATCACTTGTGGACAGCGAAATGACATAAAAACGTGCAAACTCATATTATGTTATCAAAAATTCATTTAAAAGGTTACTCATTGTCATAACAGGTAAATTTTTTAAAGTACAATTTCCTAAACCCTAAACCCTTTTCATCTTACATAAATAAATAAAATGATACACTTTTTGAACTGAAATTAAAATATAAAATGTTTTTTTTTGGATTAGGATAGACGAATTTGCAGATAGGTATTGGATAAAATCGGATAAAAAATTAAAAATATTCAATGCTTAATTTATTTAAATCTACCAACGAGACTTCTTAATAGTGTGATTTACAAAAAAAAAAATATGTATTATGTATTTTTAGTTAAAGTTGTCACTAATAATAAGGGATATAAAATGAAAAATAAATGATAGGAAAGACAAAAATGAAAAAAGATAAACCATGGGGACGAAAAGTGTAATTTACTCTATGATCTCAAAAAAATAAATAACTAATTAACTGTTTTAACTAGAGTTAGTCAGAAAGATCAAAAGTGAAACAAAATGACAACCATAGTGATCAAAGTATAAACGAAAAACCAAACTTGATAGTAACCGACAACTACAAGGACCAAAAATGTAATTTACTCATATAATTATTTGCATATTAATTCTCTTTATTATGTGTTTTTAGGGGACATAATGGAAAATACCGTTTATAAATTAATGATACGTTTGGCAAACTAACAGATAAATTAGTTGTTAGCTAATAAGTTAATCGTTAGTTAATGGAAAAACTGATAAACTAGTCTATCTCAAGTATAATTAGCTGAAATGACAGTCCATCCTTTTAACATCACCCTTTCCTAACTTGACACAGATAGTCCCACAATTCACTTTCTTATCTCGTTTCGATCCCAAACTTGAGACATTACTTACAACTTATTGCTGGTCAACCGATGCAACCCATTTCAAATCGTCCTAAAATTACTCAAACTTAAGTCGAAACGAATATATTCTAATCCAAATTTGGTTCCATCATTCTGTAACTCATATGATTTACCAGTATTACCAACTATAATAGAAACTTAACTGAATACCCGTTCATAATATTTTTTAAGAGCGTTTGAATTATATGATTTATGAATTATAATTAAATATTATACTCGAGAACGCATTGTTTTTTCTTCCCTTTGTTTTCCCTTCCTTTCTTTCATTAGAAAAGACTCGAAAACACGACATTAAAGCGGATAAAGAGCCTTTCTTTGAAAATGGTTGAAATGTCGAACATCATATTAATGAAATCCTACTCAAATAATTGTACGGACACCTTTGAAAAACATTTAACTTTTTAACCCTTCTTTTTCCTCTTCTATTCTAGAACATTTGATTAGAAAAAAAAAAATAACGTCGATCTACTCCAAAATAATTGTTAAAAATAACCTAAAAGATCTTTAAATCTGAACTTTTGGGTAAAATTTGATTATCTGCATTCTAAACTAGTTTCCACATGGAACCCGTCTCTAAGAACAGTAAGAGGCTTTTTTTTACTCACTTAGCGGCTGAGACTAGAAGTCCTACGTTCGTTTTGTATTTGAGCAAAGTCGTCATACACATTTGCCAATTGAGTTATACGCTAAATCCCTTAAGTCGGAATTACTAAAGTTAGAAGATGTAGAGCATTTAAATTTTTTATATAAATATGAGTAATGTTTTAACATATATATATATATATATATATATATATATATATATATATATATATAGAGATTGGACAATTGTAGTGTCTAGTTAATGTTGTGGGACTCAAACATACCCCCACAAAACAGATGTTAAATACAATCCCTTGAACAAAAACTCCGCTTATAACAGAGATGCCCCCTCGAGTGTGTTGGGTCCCTAGACATCTATTATAATATCATAGTGGAACCATTAAATGAAATTCCTACAACTTTTTCAAAAATAGCGTCACAGTAAATGTGGACATTAGAAGTCATGATCATAATTAAATTCCACAAACGCAAGTCACGGGTGCACGAAGACTTTTTTAACAAGTGTCGTTTAATAATTCTTATGTACTTTGAAAAGTTATCAAACCGATTAAAATAATAAAACTTAAAGCAACAAACAAGACGTAAGGTCAAAAATTATTATTTTCTTGGAAATGTGTGTTTTTATTTTGTAATGATTAATAAACAGAATTATCAGTTAATTCCATACTAAAAAACAACTCGGTAACAATCAAACGAACACTCATGTTCTTGAAGGGTCAATTTTACAGCCTTTTGATTCATCTTAAATCTGCACAAATTCAGTAAAAATCTTGGGTCCATTATTGCATACATGTGTTTACGTATATAATATTGTGTTGTATCGATATATCTGTATTTATATTTATTTATACGGGTCATGATTATAATTAATATGGTTATATGTGTATTAAAGTTTATAAGTGTCGTATTTAAATAGCCAATATCATTTAAACGGGAGATGATATCCTCAGTGAAAGGTTCACTGGTGTGTATATATATATATATATATATATATATGGTATTATCCCGTATACACATTCATAATAAGCGTACATGTAATCCTGATGGTATGATTGGTATCGAATACGAATATTCTAAAAAAATCGTTTTTGAAATAAAATGTTTATTGAGGTACTAAATATGGAAATACTGTATATTTTAGGGACTAAAAGTGCAATATGCTAAAATACACACATAAACGAGCCCACGTAACCCTCATCCCACATGTCCACTTGAGCACGCTCTGAATTTTAGAAATAAAAATAAATTATACAAAATACCACAGCCATGTAATTATACAAATAATGACGTCAAAAAATACTTGACGGGACCCACTGGTTACGTCACTTTGGCACACTTGGCTCCTTTCTAGTCCTCCACAGATATGGGGGTCTCACCATAATTAATATTTAATATTAAATATTAATAATTAGGTTTGTTTTATTATTGATATACTGAAGATCATAAATTCGTATGGTATTAAGTTTTGTTTTCTCTAATATCGTGTATCAATTAAATTGGTATATATAATTTTATATTTAACAAGTATTGATTTTTTTCGTTTGGTACATGTTGGTATTGTTTTTGTATCAACATCAAGTTAATATAAAAACTTGTCATTTTGTTCAAATTTTGAGTTTTCAGGTAACACATGTAATATTTACGGGATTTTAATTGCAAATAATAAAAATTGTAAACATTTAAGTATTCAAACAAAGTAGTTAGAGTTATGATGTTTAATATTCGATATAGAAAAGTGCCAAAAATAATAAATAATTAAACAAGTCAGTACCATTGTACTATTGTGATATATGACTCTTAATGCATCTATCAACCAAGTTTGCGTATTTGATAAGATACTATCAGTCAACTGTAATTGATACCAATTTGATTGATATACCTCTAGTAAATAGTCATGCAAATACTTGACTCGGGTTTTTAAAAATTTCTCAAATAATCTAACATTTTCGTGCAATCATATCAAATATTTTCCGTTTTATCCATACATATGCTTAACGAATGATTTAGTTGTTTTATGGTAATATCATGATTAGATTTGGTACAAATAACATTAATAAAAAAAATATTGTTTTTCACCTTTTCTAATAAATGGTATATTTTTAAAACTTTATTTTATATATATATATATATATATATATATATATAAAGAGAGAGAGAGAGACATGAGAGATCATATGGAAATAAGAGTTAAGATAAGAAGTATAAAAAAAGATATGAAACATTGATCACTTTTAATATCATCACCACCCCATAAATTGTACTTCTCACAAGAATTAATCCAATGCTTCTTATGTGAATGAAAGTTATGGCGAGAAAGATGAGATGAAATCTCTATCTTTGGATCAATCCTAATTGAAGATCAATTCTCGTATCAAACGTAATTCTTCGGGGTGAGATAAAAAGTGATCAAGAATCCAGATCATTTTTTATGCTTCTCACCTGTATGGTTAATATATAAACGAAGCATCATGTGAGAAAAAAAAAACTAACGTAAGAAGCAAAAAAGATTTGAACCATTGATTACTTTTAATCTCCCAAGAATTGCGATCCTTACAAGAATTGGTCCGATGCATTTCATCAGTGTCGATCTTCAATTAAGATTGATTCAATGATCTAGATTTTTCTTACACTTCTCACCATAACTTTTTTTCTCACTGGAACCCAATCATATATAAAATAATTTAGTTTTTCTTTATTTTCTCTGAATATTGAAGGGCCATATAATGCAGGAATAGAGTTATTTACATCAGTACACTTTCAAGAAAGTCTTCCACCACGACCATCATCCATGGATGCTTCTGTTGCTCTACACCGGAGCTCCGACGACTCCCGGAAATCTCCATGGTCCCCGGAGGACGACCTTCTTTTCCGGCAAGATTCACTCCCTTTCAATTCCAACGATTCCGAAGATATGCTACTTTTCGACATACTCGCAGCAGATCTGGCCGATCAATCATCGGAATCCAATTCATCCACCATCGCCGACGAAGTTTCTTCCCAGTCAAAACCCGTCAACCACAAGTCATACCGCGGAGTCAGGCGACGGCCATGGGGGAAGTTCGCGGCGGAGATAAGAGATTCCACCAGAAACGGAGTCCGCGTATGGCTGGGGACGTTTGATAGCGCGGAGGAGGCAGCCATGGCTTACGATGAAGCGGCGTTTTCAATGAGAGGGTCACTGGCGGTGTTGAATTTTCCGGTGGAGAGAGTGAAGGAATCACTGAAGAAGATGAAGTATGGGTTTGAAGAAGGGAGTTCGCCGGTGGTGGTACTCAAGAAACGACACTCTCAGAGGTGTAAAAGGGAAGAGAAAGTGGTCGCTGGCGACGGCGACGGCGAGAAGGTGACGATGGTTTTGGAGGATTTGGGTGCTGATTATTTGGATCAACTATTGAGTTCATCGGAAACTGGTAAGAATACTTCGATGGCTTAAACTTGTTCTGTACGTTGAAATCTTTGTAAATTTGTAGAAATTTCAAGGTCACGTTGGTAATTTTATTGCTTAAGAAATATTTTATATCTATATTTATACTATATTATAAAGTATTTGAAAAAAACTCTTAAAAACCATTATTTATATATGAAGTATTCTATATTGATGCATACTACTTAAAATTCAAAATTACAAGTAAATTATGCATAAGTACAACTTATTAAAGCTTTATGTTTGAATTCGTGTAACTAACTGCGGATAAATATAATCAAATAGAGGATAAACATCATATTTTAAAATATAATAAGGATAATTATCGAGTTCTAAAAGAATCATTATCTTTATAAAAAAATTATTGTTAAGCCAAAAATAAATTACTTCACTATTTGATCTAAATTAAATTATAATAAAAATGAATTAAATAATTTATATAAAAAACAAGAACTTTTAAATAGTTAATTTGATATAAATATCGATATATTTTCAAATTTATTTTTATTTAAAAATATAAACATTATCTTTTTCAAATCCACATAAACCATATTATATCAACAGACAAAAAATAAAACGAAATATTAAAAAAAAAATGTATTTCGCTGCATTGCGCGAGTATCATTCTAGTTATATTATAAAACATTCGACAAAAACTCTTAAAAACCATTTTTTTATGCATGAAGTATTGTTTATTGATGCATGCTACTTAAAATTCAAAATTACAAGTAGTTTTGCGTAACTACAACTTATTAAAGCTTCATTTTTAAATTTGTGTAACTAACTGCAGATAAACATAATCAAATACAAGACAAACATTCGATTTAAATATAAAAAATATAAAATAAAATTAAGATAATCATTGAGAATTAACAGAATGTTTAATTGTTATCTTTATAAAAAAATTATTATTAAATCAAAAATAAATTACTTTGATATCGATTCCAAATTAAATTATAATAAAAAATTGAATCGAAGAAGTTACATCAAGAAAACGAAAACTATTAAATAGTTAATTTGTAAAATAAATCGATATTAATATCAAATTAACTATCAAAGTATAAATATTTGTTTTACAATGTATCTATTAAATATTTAATCGGTTTACCATGTAACAATTTTTACGTGTAATTTTTGTTTTACAAATATAGAAAAAATATTTATATTATGAAACAAATACATATGAGAAAAAACATATTGTAAAATAATTATATGTTAATCAATATCTTAAATTTTAACGTTAAATAAAAAACCATGTAAAATAATATATAATTTCTTCTTTTAAGGTCGACAAAATCTCGTTTTCCTGTCTTTTTCTTTCCAAAAATAGGAAAATTAAGAAAAGAAAAAAAAAGAAACTACGACTTTTCGTATTTGTAAGATAACATAAAAGGTAGAGAATAATCTTGCCCATATCATTTTCCAAATAACATGTACTTAAGAATTATTTATTAAATGTTTATCTGAATAAGTATTTACCAAGTCACATTATTTTATTAAATGAATATGATAAAGACTAAAAATCTTATCCGATAAGAGCGGGACAAGGAACATGAGTCTTACCCGGTAAGTGAAGGTGACGACTCTTACCACGGTAAAAGCTTATCGGGTAAATTATTGCGTACGGTATTGTTTTCGTGGAGTAAAATCTTACCCGATAATTAAGTAATAATGTTGAATTTTACCGGTAAGTAAGTAATAGTGTTGAATTTTACCGGTAAGCACTTATCGGATAAGTTTTTGGTAAATAGACACTTATTTACAATTTTTTTTTTTGGAAAAGTCGATTAAATCTAGTTTTCCCATCTTTTAAGAAATTATGATATTTGTATTTATATATTTAAAATAAAAACAAAAATATCGATAACATCTTTTAATTATTGAAACTATATATCAGTCACGTTTTATTGGTCCAGTAGATATAAATATTTATAAAAAATATAAAACAAAAACAAAATATCATCATAACATCTTTCAATTATTGTTTTATATATCAGTATGGGATGTTTGTTTATCTTTTAATAGTTCCATTAAAAGACATCATTTGAATCATTAAGAGGTGAATTTTGTTTGACAAAAAAAAAATCTGCTTCTTAATGGTTCTAAAACCCTCTGAATGATTTTGTATGTTGCGTCTTCCTTAACCATTCAACACCTTAATTTCATTTTGAATAATTATCAAACAATTATATTTTATTTTGCACTATATTATAAGAGCATTTTAATCATCCTGACCACTTAACCATTTTGTACCAAACCATTCAGCAACTGTCAAACAACCCTTTAGATTCTACTGGTTCAGTTGATATAAATCTTTCTAAAAAAAGTGTATAGGTTAATGATAATTACATGAAAATCTTGAAATTTTTAAAAGGTACAAGTTCTTTTGCCAAATGTATAAACTTTAAAGCTTGCACAACCTCTCACATTTCTCATCTATTGAAAATCAAATCATTTTTAATTTCTAAGTTATACTTTGTACCCCTATAATTAGTTACTTAATTTACTTTAAATCCTTTACTTTTTGATTTTTCATTTTACACTTATATCATGTTAACATAAATAACTGTATAAGAACTAAAATGAATTAAAAATATATTTTTTTTAACAAATTATACCATGATAAATGTCTCATCAATACCTTTAAAATGAATGCAATATTGAATATTTTTTACATTTAATCATACTATTAAAAATCATGAATATATACGAATTGATTTGTTTTATACTTCTTATGTTTTCATTTTCTATTTTATAAACATTTATCATATTAAAAATACATAATTATAGATTAACTAAAATACATTGAAAATGTGTTTTTTTTTTGTTACAAATAATATCGTTATAATTTTGAATGGTTTTGATTTCTTAACTTATATTGTCATACAAAATATTGCACAAATTTTGAGTATGCAAAAGTTTATGATTGTTATTTTGGAACTTACTAAAACTAAATTAAACAAAAAAAAAACAACCCAATATATTTTAGTTGTATGACGATCTGTTCTCTATCTCTTAATTTTTGAAAATGTCAGACCAGTAGACCTTATTGCAAGAACTTGGATTACCTGGTTGGGTTGGTGAAGAAAAAAAAACTTAAACCTGTAATCGACTCGACCGTTCAGCCAAGAGCATCATGTTCTTATATTTACGTACATATATATTGTAAACGTATTTTTTAATTATTCTACAACTGTTGTCTTATTTTTCTTTTTCTAATAGAGCTATATAAATAGTTTTTTTAACGAAAAATATTATTTATATGACTTGATTCCCATTTTATAAAAAAAAAAAAAAGTATTGATAAGTTTAAAGTCAAACGCATGCATTTAAGTATTTACCGTAAATATCATTATGTTTTATTGAGAAACACATTTTTAACATATTCTCATCCTTTGAAGCAATGCTAGCATCTGAGAAAACCATTGACAATAATTACAACTTTAAAATCATAGTAGCAACCAATAACAAAATTCTGAACGTGTATTTATATTCTCCAATTAAAAAACTTTAAAATAAGCCACAGTCATTTTAACCATGATGTCTAGGCCAACTTGCTTGCATCTCGATTAGTCTCAAGAGTCTTGGAAAAATTAGAACCGATGACTATGAGGAAGATCCCCATAAAAACATCGTCTACTAATCATTTTTCACACAATGAAACATCTTTTTCACAACCTTAATATTTATTTGTTTTTTATTCTATCTCACGTTCAATATAAAAATGTAAAATGGATATATATATATATATATATATATATATGGTAAAAACCTATTTGTACTATATATCGATTCAAAATTTACACTCAGCTACATTGTATGGATATACAACTAGCATCCAGATGGACAAAAAAGAGACAAAAATGAAACATGATTGACATTTTATCTTCTCGGCTTTAGATCGAGATGCACACTGCAGTATCGCGTGGATACCTTACTAGTTAAAATAAAATACATCGTTATCGTATTTTTCTCTTTAGGTACATAACTATAAAATAAACCATGAAAGTGATCACTGTATTTATCTTTTCTTTTATCTGAAGATTATTTATGCTTGTCAATCATTTTCTTCCATGATAATGCTATCATTAACGATTCAAAGGGTTCATGGATTTGTTCAAGTGGTTGCGTCTTTGTGTCGTGTAGTATTTACGTATAAGCTCTTCATTCCGTAGCAAAAGAATTTAGCACGTGTTTGGTTCGTTTTAGGGAATGAAAACGTGGATGGCATATGATCCATTATTGAAACACAGAAAGAGGAAAAAAACAAACAACAAGAACTACACAAATCCAATAGGGGTTTGAAGATACAGAGTGAGGTCTATATGTGTCGATTTTCAGATATTTATATATACAAGTCAGTTGTATGTAAATGTTTTGCTACGGAGAAAAGGGTTGATTCTTTGACATTTCGAACTCATAAAAGACAACATCGGGGGGTTGGAATAAAGACTAATTGCCAACCATGACGTTAGAAAACACGTAAACATAAGTCATAACATTTGGAATGAAACAAAATCAGAGAAATGTAAGACGACAAATGACAAAGAAAACACATACCTCTAGTGGTTGTTCAGTGCATAATGACGGAAACGGCCATTTCTATCAACAGTAGTTTCCGTTACACCTAAGGTTGAGAGGAACATAAAATTGAAACGGAAGACTGGGACATGATCACTAAGAGATGGATCGATTGCCAAGAAAAGAAAACGAAGGACGTAAGTGAAAATACAAGTCAACTGACTTACACAAATTTTCTTTAAAATTGATAAAAACACATAAGCCAACTTATTAAACAGAGAATGCTAATCACGACGTATAAACACGTAATTTTGGTTTTATGATTTTACAAAAAAAAAGAAAGATAATTATGTGATTTTGCTGTGAAAATGATATGATAATACTGTGATCAATCGAAAACCAGTGACAATCATCGGCTCTATTTATTCATTATGCGATTTACAGTTTTTTCCTCGTTTTACTTTCGATATTCCTAAAAGATAAAAAAT